TATCACGTTATAACGTGATAGCGCTCGAAAAATTTTTTTCCTGCGTGATAGCAATGCGCTTCCGTAAAAAATACTCAGGAGACAAACAAATAAGTATAAAATTTCAATTGATAAAAGTTAAACTGTTGTAGTGAGTCAAATAAAATATACAACTTATTAGTTTTATGATTATTTCGAGACAGAGTTAAAATCAAATTAATTTTATTCTAAAGCAGCAGCGGAAGTAGCTGATCAGGTCAACATAAAGAAAACAAGTCGAGTCAGATCTCTGACATAACAGGTCAGACACTAAAACAGCCAAATGAAAAGTGAATCAGGTGTTTGAAAAAATAAAAAAACACAGAGAAAATCACTAATTTGTCCCAAATGAGAAAGCAATAGCTGCTCTTTTAAAGAATCGAGTGAAATATTGTTAGTCTGTTGGTTGGAAGAGCAAATAAGTAGACTAAGAGGATCAAAAAGGAAAATATTTTGATAAGGGAAAAATAAAAGCTATAAAAAATCCCACCAAAGTTTTGTAAAAAAAATTATATAACAAATAGTCTATCAATTCAGCCATCCAATAATATGCTCAGTTTCATCGCATATCAGCTTAAATTCTCTGCAGTGATTCGTTTATTTACTTCGCATCATCATTTTAAAAACCTGCTTGTTATCCTGCATGTGAGGCATCTAAATAATAAAGTAGAACTGACATTTAAAGTGAGGCTAAAGATAAAATGAATATCATTTGAAAAACAAAAAACACACCAGATTTGAGGTGAACGTCCCTACCATAGTGAAATAACTTTCCTCATTACAATAAAGCAGCATTTATGAAGCCCTATGAACATATTGACTTGGTGGCAGAGGCAGAATGTTGATGTTCAGTTTATTTAAATAGCACTAATTCACAACAAATGTTGCCTTGAGACACTTTACTAAAAAATAATAATAATAATTTAAATTCAATCGCACATCTATTGCACTTGAAGTCACCAAACAGTACAGTAAGCTCAATTAATTTTTCAAAGTAGTTCAAAAAGTTTCTATCTAAAGAGACAGCAGATTTCATCAAATCATTGACTTGTTGCAACGATATAATTTTCTTTGTTTTTAAAAGATAAAATTATGTAAAGAATTTTCATTTCAAAAAAGGCACAAATATAATCTGACATTTCTTAAAAGTAGTTGTGCTGCCATCTGGTAACCCTGGCAACTGAGTATGGGGAGGAAAAAGCTTGTTGCTTTTTGTGGCACCAGCATGTAATTTAAACACCTTAAATGCCTCCACCTGAAAAGCAGGCTGACAGTTTATTATTTCTGTGAGACCATGTTGAAGAAAACACATACTAAGAATTGGTTGGAATCCCCAGGTAAAAAAACACAAAAAAAAAACTACTTCAGCTAAAAGGCTTTCAAACAAATGCAAGGAATGTCTGAGCTCTCCATTACGGGTTGGAAAGTGCAAGAAGAAAAGTGTATTGCACTGTATTCAATGGCCTCACTACAATACAGAGAGAGAAGAGGTTATCTTATGGTTGTCTTGACAGATCTCCTTTCAGAGTTGGTAATAACGCTTGAGAATTGCAAATGTAATAATTTTTTATTTTTGTTTAAACACTTTATTTTATTTTTTAAATTTCAGAAGTAAACACATTATTGGGAGGAACATCTGTTATGTTAGGAGACACAGCAGGGGTCTTCAAATCCTAACCTGAAGGCCGAGTGTCCTGCAACTTTCAGATGTATCCCCAGTTCAACACCCTTTATAAGCAGCCAGTCAAGTCATCCAGAGTCCTGCTAATGACCTCATTATTTAACTCAGGTGTGTTGGAGCAGAGACACATTTATAAGTTGCGGGTCACCAAGACGACGAAGCATCTGAGGCCCCTGGAAACTCCTGGGATACGATTTGTTGGGATTTATCCTGTGAATGTAAGGTGGAGTTCTGGGGATTAGACCTGCATAAAATAAATAAATAAAATAAATAATAATAATAATAATAATAATAAATGACATAGTTTAGGAAAAAAACATATATAACAACATATGTATGAGTTCACATAAGAAATGCAGAGATTTGTAGATGGAAGGTATAAAGCATATGCTACACCCACTGATTCAGAAAATTGTTGACCTTTATAAAACATATTGTTGCAAAAGCATCATAAATACTGAGGAAATGACTTCAGCCCACATTAACAAAACACCGCACGTGAACAGCATGTGAAATCATTACAACAAAACTAGCAGGGATCCTTAACTCATATAGAGCTATCAAATGATCCACAGACTGATCCCAATGTAATGATTACTGAAATGTAAGTTGTGTGTGAAGTTCATTTAAGTACATGGTGAACAATTGAAGGGCAGTCAGCACAAGAGTTGAAAACGTTTGTTTTTAGATTTATTGTGTTATCAGCCCTGAGACAGGACAGTATGAAGAAAATTGACCCATCTGGTTCCCCACAGAAAAAGAGGAAACAAATGAAAAACAAAATCGGAAAGAGATTGCACAAAGGCTGTCAATGCTGTTTCCTGGGTAGCATTCTTGGCTGTGGTAGACACACCTTATCACAAACATACGCACAAAATGAGTAAGCAAAGATGGGAAAATGAGTGTGATGAGGGGATGCATGGCGTCAATCGGAAAGCTGGACTGAGTCATCGAGTTTGTTTTGCCACGTGCCTACAGGGAAAAAAAAATGACGACAAGCAGCCAGAGAGCCAAAGATGCTCAGTGATGCGTCAACAGACAGCACTAAAACACAGGCTTTCTTTCTGCCATGTCTTCCCAGTGCACTTTCCTCAACATTGACTGAATGTGACCAATTCATTTGAACTTTGAGTGTCCTATAAACCTGAAAAATACAAAGAGACAACTAAGTAAAGTCTACAAAACAACGCTTTTTTTTTTTTATCTGTGTAGTATTACACGTCAATTAGGTGCTAAGAGTTCTACCTTACATTTTAGCTCTGACATCTGTGGTTATAAAAACCTTTGAGCGCCAGCTGATGAATCATCTGAAAGACATCACAGGCCCCATGCTGGACCCCCTGCAGTTTGCTGACTGAGCCAGCAGGTCGGCAGAGGATGCAGTCAATTTGGGTCAGCGCTTCACCCAGTGCCTCCTCGACCATCCAAGGACATACGCCAGGATTTTCTTTTTGTAGACTTCAGGTCTTCCTTCAACACTATCAACCCAGACATCTCCCACCAGAAGCTCATCCAGCTCACTGTACCAGCCTCCACATGCCAGTGGATCACCAACTTCCTCGCTGATCAGCTGGAAGGTCATTTCTCCAGCTCAGGAAGCATCAACACCAATTTTACTCCCCTTGTATTCAAATGCCGGCAAACCCAGCTGTTCATTATCAGGACACAGACTGTATCAGGACACTGTCATTGTCCTGCATGCACACATGAGGTGGATCGGTTGGTTCACTGGTGCAGACAGACCCACCTGGAGCTAAACCCACTAAAGACAGTGGCGATGACAGTGGACTTCAGGAGAACCCCCCCTACGCTGCTTCCTCTCAACATCCTTAATGTGACATCTGTGAATAACTTCCAGTCCCTAGAATCCACACTTAGATTTCCCAGCAGAGTACATGTCCTACGGCAACGTAAAGAGTTCATCTTTCCACATGAGCTGCTGTTCATTTTCTACACTGCCAGCATACAGTCTGTCATGTGTTCATCCATCTCTGTGCGGTTGGGCTCATCCACGTAACAGGACAGACTCAAACTGTAGCAAACAATTAGGTCTGCAGAGAAGATCATCAGGACAGACCCTTCCTCTAACCATGACCTGTACAGGTCTAGGACCAGCAAAACATGTCTGTCGTTCCAACACATCCTTGTCACCTGTTATTTAGTCTTTTACTTTCAGGTTGGCTTCCATCAATGCTTCTCTCTGAAGGTATTTAAGCCTAATGGCGAACAGTAGCTATTAGGGTTACCAAACCTTTTCCTCAGCTTCAACAAACAATTTTATTGATGTCTGTTAATGAGCAAAATGACACCAATATGAGATGACTTCTTAATAAAGAACATATTTCATTGGGTGTCCTATTGCTGTGAGGTAGCAACCTTTCCAGAAGTAAATATGAGGCTGTAAGTCTTTATTCACTGATTTTCCTTTGCAGACTTAAAGTTGCTGCAGAAAATACATTGTAAAAAAAAAAAAAAAAGTATACAATTTTATTCAAGGCAAACTTTCAGGTCCAACTGTTTGTGGGATTCTGTGAACCATGTACATATAACTCCCCTGTTAATTTCTGGCTGTATCAGAGGTCTTTCTTCTGGGGAAGACATAGTGGAGAAGAAATGGCTGCACTAAAAGAAATGTCAAAAAGATGAGAGAGAGATGACAAGTAAAAAGGAGTTGTAATGTATTTATTTTTTCTTCTGCCTCCGTTGAGTGAGCCAAAGCGACAGTGGTGGGCCATGATAAAAATCAAGGCGCAAACACTGGGGGCCGAATTGCCTTTAGAGGCTGGATTCTTCAAAAGTCACGTTAACAGTAGAGAGGACACTGCATGTTTTTCCCTTACCAGATGACTGGGTCATACCTGCAGGTCACGTTCTGAATTTCACGCAACACATCTCAATTGCTGAGTGTGATGAGGCAGGGCAGACGGGGAGGGGCCCTACTGTCATTCAAACAAACACACGGGTTCCCGTCTCAGAACTGCTGAGGTTTTTCTCTAGATATCGGTTTTATATTTGAAATCCTATCGAAAGATTTACGTGTGCAGGTTCTTCACTGCTATATTATTGACTTTGCTGTTCCCTGTGTTGGAGAGAAGACCGGTGATAGAGGTTTTACCTGGAAGGGTCCGCTGGGGCTGATGTCAAAGTAGGCTTTACTCCAGTCTGGGCCCTGATGACCTGATTTTGTCCACACCACTGAATCCACAGGTGCAATACTTCTCACCCTCAGAAGAACATTGAGCATCCCTGTGAAAAAGTTACACATCGATGTCAAAAGGTGAATCTGTAACTGTCATTTTCTCACTATGACAAAAGATTTATTTTTCCAGAAAATTCAGGAACAAAACAGTAAACAAAGGAATAGGTCAAGTTAAAATCTTTTGTCACTAAAGACATGCAGAAAAGGAGGCACCTAAAAGCAAGCCTTTATGACATTTAGGTGAGACGTTTAATCTGCGAGACTTTCTGACGTTGAGATTTCTCCTAAAAAGTGTGAAATGGCAACACACCAAAAAGGCCTACTTTGACACAGCTGTAAAGCACGGCAGAGAACATGGGAGAAGAATAGGAAAGGCAGTCGTTGAACGTGTTAATTAACCTTTCTCTTTTAATATATTTACAGTATACACACTTGGCTCTCGTGTGATGTGTTAGTGTAAGGAAAGAAACACTGTGTGAGCTATGAGAAGGGGCCCTAATAGGCTCGCTCCCTCTTGTCTCTATCTCACTCAGCCCTCTAGAATGTGAGAGAATCATTCATCTTCTTAACGACCACCAGCCAGCCCCTAATTGGAACATTAACCAACCACCAGTCTTCTAAACAAATACACAAGCAGGGGGCATCCGTGCACTACATGTGGCATTAATGGGTGTGCAGACAGAAGTAGTATCTATATGTCTGCACATCAGCAATCCCTTCTGTATTAAATGTGTGCTGCGTTTACATGGTAGCATTATTCAAACCTTGATTGAGATAAAACCTCTTCAGAAGGCTGAAAAACGGCAAAAAAAAGTACCTGTGCAAAGAAACTCCTCAAGTACTAAACGAGTTGGGCGGTAATAATATAAATAGAAATACATTGATATCTATATTTATATAGATTGATTATTATTTTGTTTTCAGACATGGGTATTTTTGTTTTGAGTGTGATGAAGAAATATTAACTCAAAGGAAGCTGTATTCAGAAGTGAAGTTTGAATCAGCATTAAGGCTGGAAACACTGTTTTCATCACTAAGCAACCACAGAAATGATGCGTATCAGAAATGTCTTCCCCAGATAAATATTACTTGAAATAGAAAGGGATCTTGGAGAATGAGTAAATTGAACAAAGGAAAAGCAAATATTTTGAAAAAAAAAAACAAAACAAAACAAAAAAAAACAGAAGAAAAGAAATAAAATGATTATAAATAATAGAGGAAATCACAGATGAGGTGACTAAGTGCTGTTAAAAATAATATGCTATCTATTTTCATAAACACACACACACGCACACAGTCTTTCAGCCTACAACCACATATTAAAGCCTCATATTGTTCCTTTTTTTGTTCAGCTATTCTCTTTTGCCACCGACACACACACACACACACACACACACACACACACACACACACACGCCTACTCCTGCAGGTCCACATAAACTGCACAGGATAAAGAAGACTCTGATAGGCAGCCTATTGATTGGTCAAAGGCATGGCAAAGTGTGGTGATAAAAGTGTCAGAGGAACAGCTCTATCAGACCTACTTATCCACACTGTCGTCAGAGGAGAACGTACAAGAGAGCCACAGCCTCACAAACTGACATGCATGAACTAATGCTTTTTAACTCAAATGGGTTATTTCATTTGGATGACTGAAATAAAGCCTTTATTCCCTGCAACATCCTGCTAACCCTTCGTTATCACTCCATTTTTTGCAGTCATTTATTGTCAGAACCAAAAGTAAAATCTAAAAAGGTGAAACTAAGTGAGATTTGGATGTCACTTACATGGAAGTACTGTATGCATAAAGTGCTAAAAGTTTTATCCAAACAAAAAAAAATTACATTTGGAAACTTTAGTCTTTAAAACATTCCAGTGAATGTATTTACGCACGACTTGCTGCTCTCAACAACAGTTCTAAACACTTATCCAATGACCAACAAAAACTAATTAAATGTAGTTTATTGTTGCTGACAGTGATCCCAAAGAGGAGCAGAGAAACATTACCTGAGGTATGTGTATAAGATTTGGTCCAACTCTTTCACTACTTATACCTAACAGTGAGAATAAGGCCGTCTTCCCTTTTTATGTTGTAGCATATTTTTTTTTGCTACATTTTTTATTTTTTTTTTATTTTATTTTTTTTATCCTGCCCCAGAGACATTTAATCAGTACTGCCTTTTTCAACAACATTTAAGTCTCAAGCATAAAGGCATAAGACGGGGGCGGAGCCTTTATTGTCCAAAAAGCCATTTGAGTCTTTGAATTTGTCCAGATCCACAAAATACAAACAGCCTAACGACAGGAAACGACAGCTTGTCAAGAATTAAGGAGAGCTGCTGTGTGATATTAGTTTATGTAATGGTTAAACAGTTGCAGTTTCATTTTGAAGTCTAAAACTTAAAACAATAAGTTTTAAAAACATATTTTTAAGTTTTTTAACTTTTAAATTGGCCTGCTGGTCCTCATTTTTCTTTGTAAGAACCTTAACATATAAAAGAGTAAAACAATGTAATGAGAAATTTTTTATGTAATAAGGTTGAATAGACAAGAAAATTGAAGAATTACAAGATTTTATCTATTTTTCATCTGCATTTTGTCAGTCAAAAAGTCAAAATAGTTTGAAAAAATACATGCTTGTGGTTGTAATGTGCTGTAGATCGACAATGGTGGGAGTTCTTAGTTTTGATGAATTTAATGAGGATAACTGAAGTTCAGATATTTTTTTTTTTTTACTTTTTTCTGGCTGCTTGATTGACAGGTATAACTTTCTCATCATGCCTACATTTTAACACATTGATCCATTCATATATCACTTTGCGATACACACTGCTGTGTTAGCTGTTGGACTGTCAACATCAGTCAAAATACAGGCTACTTTTTTCTACAGGGATCTTGAAAACCTCAGTCATCAGCTTGACTTTAAACTCATCTTTGTACTCAAATATACTTGAAATATTTAAAATGACATTCGCTAAACAGCTAAAGTTTGACAAGAACCGGGTAATCAAGCAGAACAGTTGGAGCAGAAAATGTATAAAAAATTGGCTAAAAACTCTGAGAACAGAAGAGTAAAATGAAACCACAATGAAATAGGTAATGTAAAAAAGTGGAGCAAATTCCTCCACAAGATGAGAGCATGATGATCATGACCTTATAGTGTTGTTTAAGTGTGGTTACAGTGTTGTTGCTGTTTGTGTTCATGCATACATTATTTAAGAGCAGTGAATTGAAGCCAGTGTTTTCATTTATTAGTGTTCTGGTCTGTGTACATGTGTGTGTGTGTGTGTGTGTGTGCAACTGTGTGTGCATTCTAGCGCCGTGACAGAACATATTATGATGAACAGCTCTGCCAGATGACTGATTGTATCTTGCCCCTTCCATAAATCACAAAGCCTCTGCCCCCTTTAGCCACCTCCAAATGCACACAAATGCAGACACACTGATGCACAAGCAAAAACGTGCAAACAGAACACTGATAACATCCTAGGGCACACCCTTTAACACCCACCCCGAATAATCTGTGTGTCCTGCAAACACACACACTCTGCGTTATTGTGTCACACAAGCTCCACACATAGGGGTCGAGCTCCAAATTCAGCCTTTGCCCGAAGATAGATGTGAATGTTTCTGCTAGTATATTCTTGTGCAATGTGCTTCTACGATTGCCTTTATATGATAAATGAAATTATGTGAATGTTTGTGAGCACTCACCAATATGTTTGCCCTTCATGTGATAATAGAAGGAGACGCAGTACGGGACTCGGCCGGAGCCCTTGGGACCCCTGACTGAAGACACATTAAAAAGTGGAGAGAGAAGACGAGCCTTGTCGCCTTGAGCACGCGGCCGTGATGCTTCGATGTACATGTAATACCCTGCAATCAGCCAGGAAACAAAAAGAATTAGAGCTGAGATTTGATTCTGAGCTGTCAAGGAGGAGTCATTAAAAGTCAAGACAGTGAATCAGTGTTTAAATAACAGGGTCACAGGCAATGATTTGCAATGTTTTTGCAATTGTTTGGAGATGAAATTAACACTGAAAATCCAATTTAATTAATAGCATTTCCTTCGTTCTCCAGCATGGTTCAACAATCAACAAGCAAAGATCATAGTTTCCTAAGCCTTATTTTTAGTCTGCCATGACAACAGAATTACATTAGCTTTCTTGTGCTTGCTTATTGTGGCATAATTATGTAAAACATATACTCTGCTGAAATGTTATATTTGCAAACTATTACATTTATACAAGCTGCTACAGCTTCATCTGATCATTCATTTATTCCTGTCAGCTCTGTTGTTTCATTGTTCTGTTTTTTTTTCATATTCCGTTTCTGCAGGGTGCACATTTTGATTCACATTAAATAATAATTTTGTTTAACTATCAACTGCTTTATGCCAGATAGTTTCTGCATTTTGGTGCTCCAGCAGAACATTGTATAACACTTTTATAGAGGACATACGCTTTGAAAATTATTTTAATTAATTAAGTTCATCTTTATGCAGATGCTGTCAGACAGACTGTGACAATCAAAACAGAGCCACTGTTGACACTGAATAATCTAGCAGTTGAAGACACAACTTTAACTTTTCAGCAAATACTTTTGAACCATTATTGTACACACATTTTTGTGCACCTTTGATGTGAATGTTGCATCAATATTGGCCAATGTATTCTTTTATTTTAAATATTTAATCATGACATGGCTCAATATCCACTCATGCACACATTTCAAATGATAAGGCTAACTAAAAGTATTTCTCCAAAGCCAAAACTCAGAATTCCTTCCATGCCCGAGTTTCTGCCTCTTCAACCACTGCTTCCATGTTTCTCTACAGAAACAAGGTCAGTTTTAAGACGACTTCCCCATTTCCTTACCCTCTTTTGTTCCACTGCGGTCAGTCTCTGGTCCAGTATTTGCAGATCGTTTGGGATTGTGCGTCAGATTATTCTGTCTTGTCCAATCAAAGTTATCGCTCCGGTCTTGAGAGAAGCCACAGATCCGGTCATCCTCAAACCCACACACCTGGTCTAAGATGTGTGAATACATGGATGAAAAGAAATGAGAGACAGAAGAAAAAGGGGGAAAAAAAACTTTTATTCATTTTATTCATAATATATTATATTGGCGATAGGACAAGCTGCAGGTGATGAAATGTCTTTGATCAAGTTTCCCAAAACATGCCAACAATAAATTTGTAAAAAATTACCTCCTCGAAATGCACTGCAGAGTCAACAAACTAGTAATTACTAACAAGATGATAGACACAGTGAGGAAGGCAAGTTAGATATTACGATTTGGCATCTTGCCCTCTTATGTCTGAGAAAAGGAGATCCCACTTTATGTACACCAACCTGAAAAATAAATGTAGATTTATTTTCCAAGTCAGTTCTTATTTTGTGCTGCACATTCAAGCCCCCCACCCCAATTTATATTACATGATTGAAACAGTAACTAACACTAACATGTACATTCAGGGAGTTTTTGATTGACAAAGAAGCATAAGTTAAAGACACATAAAAAAAATTCCCCAAGGTGGTTACACTTTCATAATGTAAAATATAATTGTACTCAAAGATATAGACTGGTGATGTGATCAGATTTAGTTTTACTGTATATTCTTCTGGGATCTTTGAAATTACTTTCTTGTCTTCAGATTTACTTGTTTCCTTTTGAGTTACAGTGCACGTCAGAAACAGCATATTTCATCACACCTAATGCTGATGTCTCTTGTTAAGCAAGATAAAGTGGATTTTCTCTATGGTGTTGTCACCTTCATTAGCCCATCTGGTGGGCTTTGCCATTATCAAAGACTCACTAGACAGAAGAGTGTGACAACAGCCGTCTAAAACCATCCAAGCTGACAGCATCCCGGAGACAAGCAGACATGCAATCTGATAAAGATGCTCGTGGTTCTCGCTCCCCATGAGGATGGCCCGCGCGCTCTCTTTTGTTTCAGGGAGCTAATCTATTACTATTCACACCCTTCTCCACTTCATGCACCGCTTTCAATTTACACCGTTGTTCCCGCAGTCTGTTCCAATCTGCTGTTGTTTTAATTGCTTCACCCTGGCAGAGCCAACTGCCACTCCTGGCAGGAAAATGCAGCGTGTCTCTTAATGAACAAAACACAGAAGACCCGACTGACTGAGAACGACGGGGATGAGATGCATGGAGACAGTGGAGTGTGTTTAATAAAACCAATAAATGCAGGGGAAAAGGAGGCTAAATTGTACAGTTTGATATAGCATGTTTCAACAGTATTGGTCCATAACCTGATAAAACTATGTCTTTTATAATTTAATTTTATATTATATTTAATTATCTTTTCACATTTTTAACTCCCTTTTGTCTGTAACACAAAGATATGCTTGCAAATCAGAGTGTTCCACTTTAGTAAGGCAGGTGTCATCTAACATTTATCTATGATATAGATTTGTACCACAGAGAGTGTTGCATATTAAGCATTTATTTCTCATAAATTTGGAGATTATTCTTAATAGCTAAAGGAAAACCCCAAATTCAGTTTTTCCAAAAATTACAATATGACATAAGACCATTTAAAATTTGTTTTTGATAAAGAAAAGTTATTGTTATTTTCTATAAATCCATCAATGTATAGTGGGTTGATGATGATCAGATAGAGGCTCTGCTAACGTGTTGCGCCCAGGTCAGTTTACTAGCGGCCTTCAGCTCAATTGTTGGCTCTGGCATTTGACAAAGCATCAAATACTGTGAAACCTTCTCACTGGGCATAAAGCAATGAGGATTCTGTGCCTTTCCACTGTTGCACAATGCATGTTCATATTTAAAAAAAGGGACTTTGGACTAGTAAGCAACAGCCAACTACTTTTCCTCCTCAGCATAGGTGAAAAGTTTCTAATTTAGTGTCTGGTGCAGAAGTGGCTTAACACAAATAATGTGATAGTTGAAGCTTATGTCTTTTGTCTGTGTGTTTCCTCTTTCAGCAGTCCATACACTTTGAATTTCCCCTGGCTTTTAAATGGGCTTTGCTTTCAATCATCATAAGTTTGTGGTTATGCCTGACAGTTGCTTATGCACACTTTTACATAACTTTTAACCTACCATTAATATGTGTGGACTTAGCACTCTGTAAAGCGCCAACTTCTTAGCAATGACCTTTTGTGGCTAACCTGCCCTATAGGAGGTGTCAATGACTCCCTATTGGAAAACTCTGAGTGGTTATGCTACCCAGTCTGGCTCTGTGACTGTTCCTCTTGCGAACTCAATGGCATACTAGTAGTGTTAAATCAAATTGAACCCAAATTCTTCTACAGTAGATTAACAGTGATGGGCAACAAAATTATAGCATAAGCATCCTTAGTTTGAGGAGTAAGGTCTGAAAAAGAGTATTCCTCACTTTAAAATGGAAAAGTGGAAAAAAGAAATAATATTTGTTTGGTCTTACCTGAAGATCGTGGATATGTGTAGGCTGTAAGAAAATTACATTTGCATTATTATCTAGATAAGCACATTTTTATCTGTGTTTTGAGCATATTCATAAACATCATAATTCTTTACTCAAAAACGAAGGATGTGAAAAGAGACTTACGTTCTGAGTACAAAATGATTCGGCTGACATAGTCCCCTGTGCTGTAGGTGGTGATGGGAGCCAGTCGAATCTCATAGGACAGGGGAATTCTCAGGTCTGTTATTATGTGGGACATCAGCACGCCTTTCTCTGGCTCCTTACCCTTCAGGTCTATTTGCTTTGACACCAGGTTCTGCTTGTTCTGTGCAGGTGAAATGCAAAACATTTTGCAAATATTAGAAGAGTAATGCCGCAGGAGTATGATGAATCCCGCTCTCACTGTATTTGGCACGGAAATTCATATATTCACCACTGCCAGTCATCATTCCTCATCCCTAAACTAAAAGTGGGCATAGGTAATGTTCACTCAAAACATAAGAAATATACCTGATGTGCTTTCTTACATTACTGAAACCAGACTATCAGTTGCCCAATTCTTCTTTGTATTATCACTATTTGTAAATGCCTTTATCAAAGTCTTAATTATCCACCAACACCACTGATGCAGCCATTTTAGTTAGTAAATGCGAGTACAAACTTACCACTTCTGGGCATTTTTCCGAACATCATACCACTGGGCTTAGATAGCCTTCAATTCCATAAAATTTTAAGTCTCCTTTTTTAAAAAATCCAAACCAAATCTGTCCTGCTTTACTAATTAAAAGCTTTGGAGGCCAGCGCATGCAATATTACTTTGCAGCTCTCTCTCTAAGCAATTTGTGGTCTAAAAAATACATGTTGGTCCAGTTTTAGAGCACTCAGCGAAATAAGTGATTTCCCATAATGATGACATGACAAGGACTCAATAGCCATTACTTGAGAAGCAGGAATCAAACACATTTCTGCAACTGTCTCTGTTCAGTTATTTTGCTTTTCAGCAAGCGTTGCAATGCACAACCAAATCACATCGCCTCCCACATAAACAACTGTAAATCAATTAAACCGGCCGTGGATCATACAAATGTAAAAGGATTATCATGTTAACCAAGTCCAGTTGTTGTCTCATTTTTTAAGTTTTTTTTTTTTTTTTTTTTCTGTCACCATCACATTTAATAAAGAGCTATGGCTATGTTATTCCACCCACGGACAGAAGGATCCATTAGCTGTGTATCTGCCTCTGATCCCAGCTACTTAAAGACCTGACAGTGAACTCAATCTAATGCATTAGGTCAGCCACTTCACCATAACAACTTGGTACACCCACAGCATGCCATTATCAGGTAACGCATGAAGAAGAGCTCTCTCTCTCTATGTGTGTGTGTGAGCAGATATTGTGTGTGTGATTTTGTGGTAATGGTAAATGTGCAGTGTACCAACTCTAAATGTTCAGCTAATGGAGCCTTGGGCGATTCTTCCAATTTGTTTGTAGCGCCGCCTTTATTTAGATTTGTATCACATTTGCTGAGTATGATGTCATGTATACCTGTCGATGTATTGTTTTTAACAAAAATAAAAGTTGGCTACTATCCTGCTCAATCTCTACACCACCATCACCCCCATGAGTGTTTTCTTTTACATTTTTGTGTATCTGTTCTTTTATCTCAGTTTTCCAAACCACCTAAACGTAAAGAGAGGAAAACTTTGGATTTTATCAGTTTTGTTATTAATAAATGAAAAGAAATCATGGATATCAATTTGTTTAGTAAAATATACAACCTAGCAGGGTTTTTTTTCTATCAAACCTATGTACTGCTTCCAGGTCTACATCAAAAACATTTCCAAAAGTCTTAACGATTCTGGATCCAATAACATTTCCTATAATCTTCCTACATGCAGCTCCGTACACCGTGACCTCCCTACTCAGGTTTCCTCTGGCAGTCAGTTTGAGGTCTTGTTGCTTCCATTGTATTCCCATAAACCAACACAAATTCAAACTTAGCCTGGCAGAGTTGATCATTTTTATTGACAAGACCACAGTGAGTCATGCCCTGGCTGCCAGGAATTTGGTTCTCTCACTCCAATTACTGTTTGAGCCTCCCATGGCAGCCACAGCCCAAAGCCCTCCAAGTGTGCACTTGGCAGCGAGCTTTGAATCAAATCCTTCTTTCCTAACCAGGCTCTGCGCCACTAGCTGTTCTGCCTGTTCATTCTCCTTTTCTCACTGCCATTCTGGCTAGGTCCAGGCCAGTTGATCCAACTTTTCACACTCTGTTCCCAGTCAGGAAGGATCTCCACCTCGACTTCCTGACACCAAACAAAGCAAATGAAACGGTGGGTTTTCAGATTAAACCTTTCATCCATTTAGTAACATACTATAAGATTCAGCATGTATAAGATTAGGTGACGCTTGAATGATGATTCAGTCAGCAAACTTGACCTGTGCCGCTCCTTCACATTTGATCGTAATCGCCTTTGACTGAGTATATAAAGCATGAACTAACAATCTGTGTGGACTATTTAAGCTATAAGACCTCTGCATCTGCCTTTGAGGTCAGAGATCTTCTCCTCACTTCCTGACATGGAGAAGACAGATTCAGAAAGGTAGAGATGCTCCTGTCCTTTCATGATCTGTTGAGTAGCATGGCCATGGGGTGAGGAGATCTGAGAAAAGATGCCAAACTCAAATTGCATTATATTCCCTAATAAAAAAGATTTTTAAACATTTACTTGTTAGTTGTAGGATAAAAAAATATCTATATAATTAGGCAATACGTAGCTGTATGGTTGATGGAAAGATACAATTAAACTTTAAAATGGCACTACTCACTACACAGTGCACTAGAGAGTGAAGCTGTGGCCAATTTAAACAGAGCTTGAGCTTTATGTAATATTCTCCCTCCCTCTTCACCTGTGCTTATTTCCCCTTTTATCTGCACCTGTGTTTTATCTGTTAATTACCCTGCCACTTTTTAGGTGCATTACTTTTCCATGGTAACTTCCTGATCATCTATCTTGTCTTGCTTGTGCAATGGGTTATTTTTTTTTTTCCCTTAAGATTTTTTGCTATAATTCAGCTGAGGTTCACACATTTCTAAATCTGCTTACTATTTGTGTTTGGCTCTGACCTTACAACCAGTGACAAACTTGACCCATATATCACTTTTCTGAACAGCTGAAATGAATGCAATGTAATAACTGACAAGGTTTCAAGTGACTGTTCTCAAGGTTTCTGGTGAGTGTCTTCATTGGCATCCAGAGAAAACTACATAGGCCACGAACAGATACAGACAAACTGACATGGGGAGGGAGAGAAGAAAAACGTTTCTGCAATGACAGGATGAAATATCAATAACTGAAAATCTATTCACCTTCTATTACCGTCCACAATTTCTTAAATGTATTATGTATGGTGCAGTGTTGGGTGCATGGAAAGGCCATGCAGGAGCATCACTTGCTTGTCTTCCTACACCATACAATTAAAATACTGCCTCTGCAGTAAACACATACAATGTTTCACTCTGTGGGGAATGCATTTTTTGTCTTTAATACAACGATGCATACAAAAAAATCTGTTTTGAGAGCAAATGCCTCTACAAAGACATTTGTTGCTTTGCACAGCTACTTTAGTCAATTGGTGCAATAAAGCTGAAAAAGTATGGCGATGTAATAAAAAATTAAACGGTGATCATTTTGAGATGTTTGAGCTTTAAGAATAAAGATAAACAGTCTTTATGTGTGAGTGACCATGTTCTGAAGACAGACCTATCTGATCTTACACTGAGGATGAAATGCAAAAAAAAAAAAGAGAGAATGAATGCTGTTTTCAGGGTAGGGTTTAGGTATGAATCAAGTTTAAATTAGGATTAGGCTTAGAGTTAGGGAAAGGCTCTTGTGAAGATAAAAAGACACTATGTGTAGATGTGTGCATGGCTCTAGATTTCATGTAAGAAAAAAGAGTAGGATAAGAAAGATGCAAAACGTATTTTGAAATGGAAAGATGTCAGATGATAAAGTCTATATTACCACCTTGATGTGTGCGCGTGTGTATGCGTGTGTGTGTTCAGTGGAAACAGATGCTCCCAGAAATTTCAGTCAGGAAGTGTTTGTAGCTGTGTCTTTATCATATTGTCATCAAAGACACAACAAGACAAAGAATGTGTGAAAGAGGAGACAGGCCGCCACAAAACACAAGCACAGTCTGATATATAAGAGACTTGGACTGACAAAACGTGTGAGGTTAAATTTTAATCTGTTAATGGATCTCTTTCATCCCTAATTAAGCAAATGAGAGACTTTAAGTGATATAATGTGCATGTGGAAAGTTCATAGAGTTGACATTCTGTGTAAAATATGGATGTTCGCATGTCATCTCCTAATTGCGCCTCTCATGAATCTATAAGTACGCTCTACCTGCGTAGTTATAGTGGAAATCTTCACGAATTATTCACAAATTTGATTCAATGTAAAATATGTAATGCGTCATTAAGATTTTCAATCTGTCATTTATATGTTAACGGGGACACCGGTTTGTCCATCTTAAAATGTTTGATTAAAAATTGATCCATAAATGACACACGTTACATTTACTTGCACTAGGACAATTTCCAAATTGATTTGATTTATAACATAAAAAATGAGTTTGCGTGAATTTCATTTGCTAATTCAAAACGAAAATATGTATGTTTAACATAAATAGACTTCTAAAATAAACTGGGATGTAATCTAGTATAAACAGGAGGAAGTTAAAAAAAAGTAGCAAGAGAACCTAGAATTTTGTTGTGTGAAACGTATGGGAGACTATTCCACTGGTGATATATTTCTTTCAGATAAAAGACTACAATAATTCATTTAGATTTATGGTTGACATTCCTTCCAACATAATCTATGTACAAACATTTGGGAGTAATTTCTAAAATTTTGTAATGAGAACCACAAAGAAAAACCTTTTTGTGAGTTTGTTCTTGGTTAAACTAGACTATGCTCCTACTCTGCATCAAGCACCAAAAGGCTTACAGCCTTGTTTGACAGATTATAATGTCATTTGAGTGTTTTCCATGAACTGAACACAATGATTTTACTTTGAATTGCACAAACTGCTTTCTATGTGGCCTTTCAGATTTTATAATGCTTTTCCTTTCTTCCTTTGATTTATATCTCGATTTAGGATGTGGAAGTTAGACAACTGTGAGTCACAATCCTGGACACAACCTAAGGGAAAGAATACAACATTGTAATGAATTTTCTGTAAGTCAGAAAAAACTAGTTTCAATTTAGGGTTATTTTATTAGGGCAATCTTTATTCAAGTTCATCGGGATCTGTTTTAAAATGCTGTATGTTTGTTATTATTAAGAAATTCTTAGCTGATTAAACAATTGAAAAAAACTGCAGAAATGATAATTTAGTAGGAGCTACGAGACGTAATTTATAATGGTTAAAAGTGTTAATATCTTGGAAATACAATAATAATGTAACTAATTTGATTAATTAGATATCCTAATATAATGTGTTACTGACCTTTGACAGCATTAGAAAAAATTCTGTAATGAAGAACAAATTGTTTAGTTTATCTACCCCTCCTAAAGAAAAAAAAAAAAAAAAAGATTGCATAACCATGACTTCCAAGAGGTAAACACATCAATTTCCAATGATACTTTGGATGAAGCTTATGGTGCAAAGAAATGGAGTGTATCGCCTGCTTGATAGAAAAAGTACGGCCTGTCAACGCAGCTAATTCCTATACAGATAAATCCCCCCCACAGTAAGATAACAAGGAGTCTGACTCTGAGTCACATGAATATACATGGATATTGGTAAATGCACTGGCGGGCAATTAAACACAGTATTTACATACTCCAAACGGAATGGATAAAGTTGAATAAATGTACACAGACTTGCATCAGAAAAACACAAAATTAAAATGCAAGTACAAGCGAATGAAAAAAAAAATTGCAGCCATGTTTCAGATCAAACAGTACAGTGAAACATGAACTGATCCTGTCCTCATGTATTTCCCTCAGAGTTTGCATGTCTCCCTTGGGACTCTACATAATTTTCTATGCTCTGAAAAGATAGACTGTCAAGGCGTTAAAAGGATGAACTGTAAAAAAAAAAAAAAAAAAAAAGTAGAAATAGATGGGTTGTGAATCTGAGATGATATTACATTTGAATGATCCACTGGTGTACTTAATAGTCAAGAGGACGTGTGAGATTTCATGTTTTTCTTTAATTTGCATTGCAGCCCTCTACTTTGCACCCTTGCTTTCTTGCACACTCTCTTTCCTTTATTCTCAGTTGCTCTATACTCATGTAAAATGAAGTGCAGCAAATAAATAAATAAATAAATAAATTAATACATTTAAGTAAGCCAAAGTTCATCTGACAACATCATGCACTATGTGAAGGGAATGATGTTGAAATGTGAAATGCCATGAAAAGTACGGCTGTATGTCAATTTCTTAGCGTAGTAATAATAGAACAGAAAAATAGATCATGGTGGATAACAAGAAGAAATCCCAGAAGAGAGAGAAAACAGAGGAGAAAACAAAATAAGTCTGAACAGAAATCTTTATACATCTCCAAGTTTCATGGTTCTTCCCTAATGTGAAAAGTACAGCATCAGAGTTTATCTGGGATTAGTAAATCAACACATGCTTTTTGTTGATGTCCAGGTTAATATCATAGGGCAGAAACTGATTTGTTTATTAAAGCTATTCTACTACAGTCCAATTTGTGTGTACAAAACTAATTTAACACTTCTTTTATTGTCATGTAAATAAGCTTGCAGCTATGTAAAGTCAATCTTTCGGGAAAACATAAAAATGTGAAAGATACTGAATGATTTCAACTCTTTTCGACCAATATTCAGATCGAAACAGCAACAAATACCCGGTGCAGCATTTTTTATGGAGTTAGGTATTGAACTGTTTTGTGAACATTGGAGTAAAGTCCTTTGCGATAAAGAAAAGTCAGCCATCTTAAAAAATGCAATGACGCAACCTGACTATTTTGACTCTATTGCTGTCCTCAGAATGTTTTAGATCAATTTGGATTACAAAAATTTATTTATATAAAAGTAATAAGACATTTTGTAGACAACTTCCTAATCAATTTAAATAAATTCAAAGTCAATGCACTATGTAGCTCTCATCAGAGAGCTACAGAAAATCAGTGAGCAGAGATGGAAAGTGTGTGAGAAAGGTGTCAATTACATACGTTTTGTCAGGAGGAATGGGCCAAAATCCCTTCAAGTGTTGTGAAATGTGGAAAGATGGCCAAAACATTGGATCCAAGTTTGCAATGCTATGAAGTAAGTGTATGTGAATATCTGACTTTGAGGAAAGAAAAACAATTCTCAACTTAAACTGGTTTTCACATAATAGAAAAAAAAAAAAACAGTCAATCCTAGCATGAAGAGTTTATTCCAGGGGTCGGCAACTCCAGGCCTCGAGCGCCGGTCTCCTGCAACTTTTAGATGTGTCTCTACTTCAACACACCTGAGTCAAATAATGAGGTCGTTGGCAGGACTCTGGAGAACTTGACTGCACTGACAAGGGAATTCAGGTATTGGATCCAGGTGTGTTGGGCCAAGGAGAGATCTAAGAGTTGCAGGACACCGGCCCTCGAGGACCAGGATTGCCCACCCCAGGTTTAGTCTGACGTCACAGTAAGAAGAAAAAAAGGTCCTGTGTCTTTTTTATACAGACAATATAAATATCTAGTTTTAACTGTAGTTGAAGTATGAACATTTTGATTTATTTACCTTATTCTTCTTTACACTTATTCGGTTCCAAATTTACTGCATATTGTTCGGATCTTTAAAGAGATAGCAATTTAAAAAAAAGCTAATATAAAATGAAAGAACCTTACAAAAAGAAAAAAGAAAACACAGAGGAAAACTGGTTGTTTTATTTATTCAGAGCAGGTGTATATTGATGGACTTCAAATGTGTGACACCCTTAAACCCTGTAAAGCCCCTGTTTACTAAATACGCAAAATCCATGACAAAAAGTGAAGCTCTGATGCTTTCCAACTCAAGGTCACTTTTGCAAACTTAGGAGGGCTGACCAGTGTTTGTCTTCCATTATGCTCTCCGACTTTACTGTTTCTCCCTACCCAAGAGGCTCTGTCACAATCTCTGTGTGCGTTTCAGAAGAACATCAGAAAGCAATCCCATCGCATGGTTTCCTGTAGTGAACTCTTGCCTGCAGAATGCTTGGCCTATGTTTCTCCGTTGTTCTCTGCAACTCCCGTGCACCTTTGTATCTAATGCACTGCTCCAATTGGAGCATTACTCAATCTAGATTATTTCCCTCTCTGCTCTGCCCCCTTTTCTATCAACAAATTTGCACAAGTACTCTACATCAAGCCATTTAGATCCTAATAGAGACTCTCTTTAATCTTGTTTTAAGCTATTGCCAGCATTTGAGAATGTCAAATCATAGTACTATTATCTAGATCATATGCGAATACAACAATATGAGTACTGACACAACCGTTTATGTGTTATTACTGGTGTCTGTGCAGGCGGACTTTACCTTTCGAACATTTAGCCAGTAGCCAATGATGCGGTCGGTAGCCTGTGGGTCTCTTTGTGTCCACTGTAGGGTGTAGGAGTAATTATTTCCCTTCAGAATGCGCACTGGGTTTGGTGTATCAAAATAAAACTCAGCATTGTATGGTTGTGCTGTGGGCCAGGAAGTAAAGCAAAATGATAGGTGTAAAAATGAGCCATGTAGAAAATGGATGAGCAAATTTTGATAAATAAAATGCCTATTTTTTCACTTACCGGAGACATTAAATCGGCACGTTGATGTCCCTGCACTGTTACTGACTCTGCACTCATAGGTCCCGTTGCTAGTGGGTTCCAGCTTGAACTTCAGCTCTGGTGTCTGCTTCAGGTCTGGCATGGACATTCGGATGAACTCGCCGTTGCGGAGCCATCGAATGTCTGTTAGGCGAGGAGGGTTGGACCGTAGCACAGTGCATCTCAGGGTCACTGTCTGAAAGTTCCTGGACCGCACATCCTGAAAGACTGGGTCCAGCATGGGAGGGTCTGCAAAGTCAACACATGATAATTCATTACCACAGCTTTCGGGAATACTAATCACTATTTTATTTATTTCATCATGTTTTCAGCAACATTATTTATTTCAGACTGCCACAGAAATACAGGCATTGACAAATTATCCGCCACAGAAAAACTACTGTTGCCAAAGGGATCAAGCATTACAAGGTGCAATCCCAACCCTGCTGCTAACCAATCCTAACCGGTAGTTATTAACCTGTCTGAAGTGATGTGTGGCTCTGCAGTTAATGACTGACTAGCTACTGTTGCCCTGGGGTCAGCGGAGACACAACACAGCCAAATTGCTCTGCCACAAATCACAGCCGGGCTAGTTCATCCCATGGCTAATCATGTAGATAGACAAGACACTAATAGTGCTCCTGCTGTATGAACTGTGATGAGATTTTGTGTTAAGGCCCCCAGAGGTGAGGTAGCATCACAGTTGTCCCTTATGCATCAAGTTTATCACGCACTGAAGTGTAATTATGTTCTAATCTATGTTATGTGTGTAATTTAGACAGACACAGAACAGGCGGGAGAAAGGGCAGGAGAAAGACAAAAGGATTATGGAAGAGGCAGGAGAGGAAAAAAATATGCTTTTATCTTGTTTTGTATCAAATGAGAATATTAATTTGACTTAAAATAGATTACTGCTTCGCTACTGAGTGTGGAAGTTTTGATTGTTTTGCTATTTTAACTTATTTGTGTGAGTTGTTATAAACCATACTATTATAGCTCTAACTGTATGTTTAGGGTCATTGTTTTGCTTTAAGGTAAACCTCCTTACTAATCTTCAGTCTTCTGCAGCTTTTCTTCATTTTCTTTCATTCTTTTCCCCATATTCACTGACCGGTCTCCCTGTTCCTGCTGAGTAACATCCCCACAGTTTGACACACCCATCACCATGTTTCAGGTTGGGATTGGGTGTTTACACTGGTGTTAGGAGTTAGTTTTATGCCAAACATACTGTTTAACAATTAAGTCATAATTTCATCTCACAACAGCCTTATAAGTTTTTGAGTTGTGCCATATCGTTTTCATTTTAAAACTACTTTAGACTTCTACACAACTTCCTCCCTTGGTTCTGCGGTTTTCAGGTTCCCATTTATCTGCTAACGTTCTCTAGTCAACCTCTCAGACCTCCGCTCAAAAAAGCTCCATTGATACTAAGATTAAACACAGTTGGAATAATTATCAAATGCCACACAGACTGAGCGTAGTGTTAAGCGCTTTTACACTTCAACCACATAAACTTAAAGTTGACAACAAGGAGTCACACCTAAAATGTTAGTATTGGAAGAGAACCACTTTTCTCACTGATCCACAGTTGTCAGAAGAAAATTGGTTGGATTCAGGGGTGTCAGATTGACGGGGATTAGACACATTTGCATGTCATAATGTTCAGATTTCTACTCTGGCCTGTATTATTTTCCCTTAAGTGCTGCACTACCCAGATTAGATGGGTTTAAATGAAGTACACCTATATTGTGACTTTGAATTTTAATTCATGGTTAGTCAGACAGTTTTCAAGCTATGGTCATGGCTTGTGTTGAAAAGGTCAATGGAGAAGAAATCTGGAACAGACCACACATTTTTTATGCATTTGGACTTTGATTTGTAAGACCTGTCCATCTCTTGTCTCTCTGTGGAAAGTTAACATATTGATAAATGTTTAATTTGTTACAGTTCGAAAAAAATCTCTAAACATGTTGACTTTAGATTAGATTCAAAGGAACTCAGTGTTTCAACTATTTTGGAGTTTGCTGGAAGTTTATTCCAGATTTGTGGTGCATAGAAGCTGAATGCTGCTTCTCCATGTTTGGTTCTGGTTCTGGGGATGCAGAACAAACCAGAACCAGAAGATCTCAGAAGTCCGGAAGGTTGATAATTTTTCTTGTTTTTTGGTGGTAAGCCGTTCAATGATTTATAAACTAGCCACATTTTCATCTACTCTCTGAGCTACAGGGAGTCTGTGTAAGGATTTTAGAACTGAGGTGATGTGCTCTAGTTAATTATTTTTAACTTAAGATAAATACAATATTTAAGAAACAAAATATTTTAAACTACAAGAAAAAAAAAAAGCCAAGACAGACCGCCAAGCAAATATGAATGCAATATTTTTTTCCATGGAAGAAAGTAGGAATGAATAACAGTTGCACTTGCTTATAGGGAGTAAAATGTCAGATTTCTAGTTCTTCCTCTGCAGACCAGTGAACTCAGCCAGACCAAATTCCTGTTTAAACCAGTTTATCATTCTGTGCTTGCACTTCAGTCTGAGGAACACGAGTGAGCACCTGAATGCTAAGGAGACGCAAAACCACCCCAGCATTTACCTTCCCAGTTTCTGTGCTCCTGTTGCTTTTTGGTCAAGACTTTCTACATGTGGATGTGAAATCAACATAGTCTCTGACCTTTTCAGTTATTCAACAATTATTGTCACATACTTTTCATATATCCATGAGCTCCTGAAAATTTCGATAAATACTATAAAAAGTTTCTTTGGGATTTTATGTGATAGATAAATACAATGTATCACATACATATGAAGTGGTAGAAAAATGACATATAAACAATGTAATTTAGCAAATCTAATGTTGCCAACCAAATCTCCTCAGAACTTCCAAAATTAGCACATTTTACAAATCCCTGTGTTATTTAATCATAGAAACAATCAAGCTTTTGTGTAAAGACCTCAGATTTATCAGAAAACATTAGATAAAAACAGTATTATTCAGACCAGGGAACACAAACAACAGAGTTGTGGAGAACTTCAAAGCATGGTTAGCTTAAGTTACATCCCAATGTTTGAAGATCCCCCAGCTCTTCTCAGCCCATTATCTGAAAAATGGAAAGAACATAATAAAACTGAAAACCTAACAGAACATGGTCGTCCACAAAAAAGTGGCACAGAAAGGCATGGAACCATGCTCTGGAGGAGCTGCAGAGCTCAAAAACTCAAGTGGGAGAATCTGTTGACTGGGCAATTATTTGTAATGTGATCCACAAATTAGACCTTCATGGAAAAGTTGCAGAAATAAATATACTGTTAAAGGAAAGTAATAAGAAGTTTGCCACAAGCCATGTAGGAGACAGAGCAAACAATGACCTGGCCAAATCAAAATGAAGTTGAAAATCTTTGTGGAAAACATTAAGTGTTGGAAAATCTGATACTGCCTTAAAATCCAATCACTAAACTTCAAACTGAACAAATAATCCCCATGGTAAAATGGAGTAGAGGCCGAATTATGCTTTTGGGATACATACTAAGAACTGAAAAAAGTAACATGTGCAGAGAAACAAACTAATTGTGAAGTACTGGTATTAGAATTAGAAAAAACAAGTTTGAAAAAAGAAGAAGGTTGGGTGTGAGCCTGTGTTCAAGCAGTTTATAAATTATTCCACTGCCTCTGGATTCTGGTAGAAAAGTCTGTAACAATTACAGAAGTTTTCAGGCAGTACATTACACTTTTCAAGCTCATGGGAAATTTTTTTCGTACTTGACTCTTCAAATTCTCTCAAGCTTCATTTTTGCATTCATTTCCTCCTCATTTGGGGCTGACGCTACTGCACCTCAATGTTTCATAGTCAGAATGCTATAATCCATGTAAGCACGCCATTGCTATCTGTCTTATCGAATACAAAATGGTTTCAATCCAGCAATGCAACACTGATCAAGCCCAAAATAAAAGTAAATTCACACAAAACTGGAAGGGTGGAGTAGGTGTGTGTGTGTGTGTGAGAGGGGTGGAGGTGTGCAGTGTATAAGGTGTTGTGAGTTAAGAGAGAAAGAGCTCTTTAAAAAAAAGACAACAACGAGGAAGACAAATGACAGAGAGAGTGTGGTGTGAAAAAGTCAGTGATTGAGTGTGGGAGGTGCTGAGCCAATGAGAGGATGCAGGATGCAGAAAGAGAATGGCAAGACAGAGAGAGGGCTTCTCTCATGGTCAACAGTTGGCTGATTGATGATGATGAGAATGGCAATGAGGAAGAACATACACCGCTGTAGGAAAAATAACGAAGAGCGGTAATGGAAAGAAAGGACCCGAGACAAAGTCGGCAGTAGGACATGCAAAAGCAGCGTATCTGTTTAATTATAGCTGCCACATAAAATGATGACATCCTTCACATTGATCTACCCCAAAAAAATGAAGGGAGAAAAGAAAGACAAAATTAAATTGAAAACTTATGTTAGATAGGGCTGGGAATAAAATAGGTCAGAAGAACAACAGTAAAAAAAAAAAAAAAAAATCTGGTTTTCTGCATGTTTAATGCTGTACCCACAGAATGATGTTCTTATTTAGGTTGTTTTCTATTTGCCAACTTTTTTTTTCTCCCCTTTGGTCAGCACCTCAATATGCTTTCCTCCACTTTGCCAGCTTTCTTCTCGCAACCTCTCTCTTAACCTCATATCTCTCACTCTTAGACTAGTTCATGTATCTGTCTCTTTGCTCAGTTTTTTTTTTTTTTCTCTCAATCCAAAGTGGGGTGGCCACCTGCTCCATTAATCAGAGTCGGCCCTGTGAGGACAGCAGCGCTCACAGTGTTGGCCCTGCACCCTGCCACCATTAGCAAGCTTTCTAAATACTTTGTGCAGAGAATAGAAAAGAAGAGAATGCATTAATTTGTGCCTTTATATTAGGTGAGTGAGTGCTGGACACAAAGACATCAAAGGAAACTAGGCCAGAAATGAAGTTATGTGTAAGGAAATGAAACGACACGGGGAATGAACAAACTTAAAGAAATTTATCAAACACTTTTTGGGCAAAGCCTTTTTTTAGTGATGACAAATTCCAGACGTTTCCTGCATGGAGAAGTTAGGTGTGATTTTAACTTCACAACAAATTGTCTCCACATCTAGTAGAGGTTCTTTTTATGTGCTCGGATCTTCTCTTCTTATTTACAGATTCACATCTTTTTTTTTAAGATTATTTAGGCCCTAGAGGCCTTTATCTGATAGTGAAGTGACAGGAAAGTGGGTTGTTAGACAGGAGGAAAACATGTGGCAAAAGTCAACAGGTTGGAACTTGAACTCGTGATGGCCTTGTAGAGGACTGAGACCTCTTCATACAAGGGTCCCTCACTTAAACCCTGAGCCACGGCTACACTCACAGATTTACAATTTAAAACAAGTCCGAGTCACAGTCTCTGAAACCAACTAGGAGTTTCCTTGGTTGCGTATTTGGGAAATCGACACTCACTACATTTACAGATTCTTCTCAAGAATGTCTCAGTTCATCCTTTGATTATTTGATGTCTGCCGTTACCACATACACTAAGACAACACAATAGATGTTTCCATCTATTTAGGCATGATTTTTTTTTTTGGGGGGGGGGGGTATTTGCAGCAGCAATTTTTCAGAAAAATTTAATTTGCAATGAGATTAAGAGAATTCAGCTTTGGCCTTATCTGACTAGACTATATTTTCTCAGTATTTCAGTGGCTTGTCTTGTAAAATACTGTAGAAAGATTTGAACAAGGTTAATCAGCCTAAATTTCATGACAATGAGAAAAAGGACAGGACTGTCGCTCACTTGACTACCTAAACCCAATAGATAATCTATGGGTTATTCGTAAGATGTAGATGAGAGACACCAGGCCCAATGGTATTAAAGAAACCTGACTCACAGACTCTTTACCTCCACGTCATGTTGCATTAATAAAAGCAAAATAAATCATATCCAAGGATTGAGTGGAGATCTGGTACAGCAAATAGACAGAAGTACTTTTCAATAGATCATTTGTGCCTTAAAGATGATTTTTATTGAACGTTACCTTATAAGAAGCTGAATTTTGTGTTTCAATAGCTTTACAACATAATCAAATTACCAAAATAAAAAAATTGAAAACTAACACCCTGGGTGTAATGAATCAATTCAATAGAGGAGTTTCAATTATTGAATTGAATTAAAGAAATAAATTACATTTTGTACTGAGATGCACCTCTACATGTAGTTAAATAACATTAAGGACTAAAACTATTAACTGATTTTCAGGGAGTTGATTGATTGATTGATTGATTGATTGATTGATTGATTGATTTAAAAAAACACAGACAAGAAGTAAAAGAAAAAGTAAAAGAAGAAAAAAGACAATCATAATTTGATCAGTTGTTCCATAATGTTATTTTCTTTTATCCAGTTGATATTATGCTTGTTTTCCAACCAGTTGGTTTTATTTATAGTTGGAGCAAACTCTATTCGCTTAGTTTCAAAGTGACACACTATTTGTCTTTAACAGTTCACATATGAGTAAGGGTGTTTATGTTTATTCTTTGGAAAACTTTAATTTTTTAAAGTCTTCTCTATTTTGACTGACTTATTTAACTACACACACACACACACACACACACACACACACACACACACACACACACACACAGACACACACACTTTTTGCATACTTCTTTATACAATTACAATAGAGATTCTGACTTACCGTAATTAACTTTGGTCATCTGTGTTTTTTTAAACAAACCACACACTTGCTTGTATATAAGATGTAAACTCCGATGTGTTATTGTCAAAGTGTGTGATTGCCACCACATGCAGTTGTAAGGTGTTGTATGTAGAGTTCTCAGGTGAAAATAATCTGATCCACACTTACATTGCACATTCAGTTGGACCTGTGCCTCTCTGCGCTTGATGTTAAGGCCGTTGTATGAAGCTGTCTGACATCGATACACCCCCATCATGTCACGGCTGACGTTCTTTAGCCTCAAGCGGCCGTCGGGTGTCTCCACTGTGGGTTTCCCCGAAGGCATTAGCAAATCCTTCTCTGTCCGTGACCACAGAATTGGAGGACGGGGTTTGCCATCGACCAGGCAAACTAACTCGGTGTACCCTCCTTCACGCACACTTACAATCTGACCTCCTGTTGGAACTGACAGCATCGGAGGAGTGACTGGAGGAAAGGAAAAGGGAATTTTATAAAAATCATCTGAAGGAAAACAATAAAGAAAGTTTATTTATTTATTTATGTATTATTTTGCTTTTAACTCAAGTAATAATGTTGTGGGCAAATAAAAAAAAAAAAGAAAGAGCTTGACGTAAGTTTATGCAGAGATTTATTCCCTTTCGCTACCTTAATCATTGGATCATGATGAATTACTGCAAAAGGAAAACAATGGGAAGAAAAGCTATGTGACTGCATGTAATATTCAGGAGGCAGACATGACTTAAACATTAAATGCCGCATACTGAGGTAAACCTGGAATAACAGATAGATGACTGTATGTATTTGGTTAAAACTTACACTGAGCCGTCTAAAAAAACTAAATAATAAAAAAAGTTTTAGTCCCTATAAAAAGGCTTAACATGAAAATACAGAAGCAAATTTAACCACATTTTGTTTTTACCAAGTAGTGCTGTTATCCAGCAAAATGCATCAGAGGGCTGGATATTCAAAGACAGAAAACTGAGAAAATTATTTAAAACATAAAATACGGTAGTATATAGTGGGCAATACATCATACCAGGAGAGCAGATGAACCAAGAACCATACTGTCAGATGTTGCCCGGCCCCGTGCCACACAATCATGGCACTTTGATGAGAAATGAGCTGCTGGGACACATCGGCAATGGACACGGGAAAAGAATAATGCACTATTGAAATGCTACTACTCCAGTAACCCTAGGCAACGGGGCTAAACAAAAAGACTGTTGGAAGCCTTGATGCTTCAAAACTCACAGTCTAAACTAATTAACGAGAAATCTAGTAGCTCAATGTTCCAACATACACAAATGGTTTCACAATTAGAGTTCCAGGAGATGCAACACATTAAGGCTACAGCAAAGGGTAGAAAGAACACAAAGTCAGATTGGGTACCAAACCCAAATGATGCAAGATTTGATATATGATTATGGGTTTTCTGAGAGCCTGTCAACCACGACACCAACACCGAGGGTCTTATAGACAAAGCACAGTGACTATAGAAACCAGCGGAGATACTGTAAAGCAGCAACAATGAGAGATGCTTAGCAATGGTAAAGTTAAGAGAGACCAAAATGGACAATGCCCACAAGAATTAGAAGGTTAGAAGCCAAAATCAAGGTGACAGAAGAAAGCCAATTGTCAGAACTCCAGAAGGGGGCGTCTCAGAGATAGAAACAGTTGCCCATACCTGAGGCCCTGGAAATTTACCAAGGACTCAGAGCTCTGGCTGTCCAACTAAAGAGATACGATAGAAGCCAGATGAATAGACAGGCTGTTCTAAACCAGGTACAGTGTATTCCCAGTGGTAAGGTAATAACACACAAGCCACCAGCGGTGAACAACACTGGAAAGGTACACGAGAGAAAGAATTATTGCTTAACAATGATGCACAATGGCTGATAGACAGCAGCAGGCCACACTAATTTCCCTAAACATTACAATGGCAGATGTCCTATAACGAATCTCAGGTATGAACAAATGCTAAACATGGTGTTAGGAGTATCATACTGTGGAGATGCTTCAGTGGTTCTGTGACTTTTAATCTCATCAAAGTTGAAGGAATGATGAACAAAGAAGGATATGTGAAGAATTTGAAAGGAAACCTCAAGCAATCAGCAGCAAAACTGAGATTCCTCAGATTTCCCAAAGATTTGTTGCAAACTACAATAACTGACTGCATGCTGTTATCCAGCAAAGAGGATACACAACTGACTATTAGCACCAGAGCTAATAATTTTAACCCTGGTAGTTTTTGGTTTTTCTGAAATTAATTGTTTTCTGTGTACAAAGCAAATTAATGTAAGCATTCAAAAAGATGTCTGGAAAAGCTGTATTTAAAAAAAATACTCTGTTTAACAGCACTTGGGAAATTTTTGAAAAAAATACATAATTTTTTACCTCAACTGAAAATATATATGAAATTTGAAAAAAACAAAAAACAAAAAAAAAAAAACATTGTTTTTCCTGTTTTTTGGCTGATTAATGCAGTGCCCTCTCTGTTCAGTTTATCAGTCTAAAGATCAGTCTAAATACATTCTGTTATAAGAGCTCCTTGTTTGAATTTCCTTAGTGCTAATTGGTTATGTCTGAAAATAACAGCAGCAAAGTGTTTTTTCACAGTCTGACCCAGTCTCACAGAAATGTCAAATAGAAACAGAGAAATTAAAATCTTACCACTGTTTTGGGAGATGTTGACATCCACACGCAGCTCTGGCACCCTGCTGCCTGGGAAGTTTGCCACACAGCTATACATAGCCAGGTCTCTGAACTTCATGTCTACAATCTCCAAGCTACTTGTGCCTGGCGCCATGTCAGGGTCACTGCGCAGTAATATCAAGCTTTCCGAGTTGAAGACGGGGACACCATTTTTGTACCAGGTGTAGTTGACTTTGTCCTGTGGAGTGGCGTCAACATGACATGACAGTTTCAGGTCCCGACCCATTTGGATGGTCTCGCTGTCCTTGTTAGAGTCCGGTGTGATTTGGAAAGTCAGGTTGCTCATTGCTGTGAGTTGGGAGTAACAACATTAAGAAAAGGAGAGAAGAATGATTAAGATGTATTACCGTACTGGGTGTTGTAAAGAGAATTATCCAATGATCATCTTTTTAGGATACATGTTTAATAAAGTTTCCTAGCCCTCCGCTTCAGAAAACTCACAATACTTACATTGTTTTCTTGTTGGAATTTTATCTCTTAATGTGAGGAGTTAATGACTGTTTTGACCAATTACTGTTCCTAGTCATTTATTTAAAAAAATCAGCTTAATGAGCATGCATTTACTATCATAAATATAGGTAACTATCACTTACACGCAGTATTAAGTTTGAATTTTATAGATGTAGAGCACTTGTTTTAAATGTTATCAGCCCATAGCTTTTATTCCTCTTCCTATTATTCTACAAACTAGACCGACTGCAGCTGCTAAGAAGGCATCTCTTCCTGTGGTTTGCACAGTGGTTCGTAAGCTTTGAACTCATTTAAAAGGATCATAATCAGAATTTACTGACACTGTGTGGCAAAGATTGTGTGCACAAACAAGGAATTTGACTTTGGCTTAAAGCACTGACAGTGTACAGACTAAAAGCATTAATATGAACACTTTAGACTGCTGTCCCATGTTCCATGTTTTAAATATTGTCTAATTTAGGTATTATAAACATAGAGTGACATTAGACCTCTGTTTTACAAAATGTACTAATACATATTGGTCCTAGAACACTGTGCACACAAAAAATGGCAATAAAGTATAGTACTTGCAAGGTAGCTATACCGAATGACTTTTTAGTATTTTGATGATGCATGCTTTTAGCACAATATGAGATGTGCTTCCAATTCCTACATATAAAATTTTTGCAAAGTCTGGTGTGCAGACCCTGTAAGTCGATATTTTGCAGAAAAACCTACTGCAATTACTGCAGCAAGTCTTTTGAGATATGTCTCCACCAGCTTTTGGCATTTGGAGACTGAAATTTTGTCCCATTTTTTTGTAAAATGTCATAACCACAGTCGGACTAAATATGGACCGTTTGTCAGTTTCACATTCTCAATTTAATTTATGTCTGGACTTTCACAGAACCATTTTTACACATTCACATGCTTTGATGTAAACAACTCAATTACAACACCCTGGTTTTCTATAAGCTTTACTCAGGATTCAGCTCCATCCATCTGTTCTCTATCTATCACAGAAATCTGAATGAGATACTTTAAAATTTGTGGTTGAAAATTGAAAAAATTGAAAAATTGTCAAGGGGTATAAATACTTTTACAGTCACTTAGTTAGGGGGTAAAATGCTGAAAAATGTACTTACAAATAAAACTGCTAAAAGGCAACAGAGTTTTACAAGGACAAATTATAAAAATACACCAGAAAGAGTGTGTGTCAATGAGGGAGATAGCCTGGTCATACATAAGGAGGGAGCATCGTGATAAAAAAAAAAAAGAACCCAGGGGAATAAAAGAAATGGGGGGCAAAAGAATGAAAAAAAGAGAAAGAGGCAAATTGTAAAAGAGTGCAAGGGGGAAAAAAAGGAGCCAGGATTCAGAATAAAATAACAGGGATATAAAGAGGAGGTGGGGGGGGAACAAAATCAAGGACAAAGAGTAACTTTCACACTGTCACATTTAATTTTCAGTTTCAAAGGCTGCATTTTCCCCAACTGATTTCCATATTGAATGCAAAACAGCTCTCTGTTTCCCTACTAAACAGCAAGGCTGGAGAAGAGACTTCATGAAATACAGAGGCCGCTATAAGACAGTGACCGAATGGTTTACATGTAATTATCAGCTTCATGTGAATGGTGTGTTAATCTACTTGAGTGGTTTGTGGATGTTGTGTACTTACATTTATACAGTAATATTGCATGGGCTCGTCTTTATTGTATAAACAAGAATTGTTTCATTATAATAAAACTCAAAGCTAAGATGCAATTTGAGGTTTGAGTGAGAGCTGAAGTCATGGAAACACACACGTGCATACATGTATGTGCAGGTGTCACCTACCGACTTCTTTTGCACTTCCACAACTCTAAATGCGTCTGTCTCTAATCGTCTTTCCACCTGCGCTGGTGTAAAGACGCGTTCAGGCCCATTAGACTAACAGGAGAAGCGTATTTGGCATACGTTCTCCACAGTGTTAACTAACAGAAGAGACTGTCACTAATTGCTTCCACTCCAGTCTAACTAATTGGAGTGAATAAAGATGATTAAAGGCGCCAAAAATAGCCAGAGGCTAGGAAGAATGGAAGGTTTCTGCTTTAATGACAGGGAAATTACAAAAAGAGCAATACTTAACCCGCCCACTCTGACAAGATTCACATCAGCTCACTGTAATGATGGATTAACTGCTTACAGCACACACAGGCTTTCCCATTAATACAGTCCCAAATTACTGTCAGTGACTGGAAAGGTAGTTTTTTATCCACAGTGAAAGAAACTTTTCCAGCTTTAGGTTATCATTGTTATTAGTAGGAGGGGAACAAGTAGTATTGTAAAGCAAACCGAAAAGATTTATGTTAAATATTGTATAATAACCCATGCTGCAATAACACCTCCCAGAAATAAAAAAAAAAGTAATCTGTTTAAAAAGTAAAAATAAATACCAAAATTAAAGTCTTATGAAGTTTTATATGTATTAGCTTTACTTAAGTTTCCTAAAAACTCAATACAGAATGATGAAAACTAAAGTGCATAGTAGTTTCGGGAGAATCAACATTTTTAGTGTATCAATGCTTTAAAAGTTTTAAAAGACATGCAAACCTATAAACCTATAATATGATTTAATTACTTTAATTTAATTGTCACAAAGGGAACTATTATTATGCTCCACTTGATAGCGACGAGTTTGAAGCTTCTTTGGTTTTGATATGTTTCAGTTGCTGCACTGCCACATACAGGACTGAAATTGTTATTAGGAAGTTGTGGTTCGTTTTTTTATGGAGGAAGACATTTGTGGAAATGATGGCATGTTCGTGAGGAACATTTTAGAATGAAAGAATACCAAGCTGATTAAAAAAAAAACAAAAAAACTCCAGATTCTGGAAAAGAAGGCCTGAAAACTTTACAGCTGATTTTAATTATCAGTCTATTGTATTGAAAATGTCAAAAAGAAACCTGTATGGACAGTCACCAAAACTTTGGGCCAAGTATGACACTTTACCAAATTTGGCTTTGTGTATAATAATGCCAGATTTGGCATAATGTCATCATGCCAACACAAAGCCTGTGTGTTATTTGAATCACACTGGCTTTGGTTAGAAAGGGGTAAAGACTTTTTTTATAGATACATTTTATCTCATCTGTTTTGGTCACAGCAATAATTAGTGTTTTTTTTTCTGACAAGTTTTTTTTTTTTTTAATTTCAAAAATAATATTGTAAAAATTGCATAACCTACATTTGAATTAAGTTCTGAATAATATTGGATAAAATGTTCTTTGAAAATTTTGGTTCTTTTTCTGTTTGGCCTTCGGATGGATGGAGAGCTGTCCTGTATGGTGAATCCAGCTTTACGCCTGTGAACTATTTTAATTGGCTTTAGCTACTGCAGCCATGAACTGGACTAAGAGGATAATTAAAACATAGTGAACAACCCTTGAGTAAATATTCCAAATCTGAGTAATTATTGTCAAATGACCTTGTTCTCTTTCGTCTAGGGATTTTTCCAAAAACGATCAGACAAAGCTGTATTTGAAGCCTTCTGCTAGGGTTTTCAATAGCAATACCTCAAGTTCAGTTTTTAATTAAATATTTTCTGCATGATGTAAATGCATTAGTGAACATCTAATGTTATCCACTCTGACTCGCCAAAATACTGCAATAAATTCACTAAACATTGTCTCTATACATTACCAAGAGAACAAAATAAATTCACTCACTCCTGACTATCAGATTGACGTTCTTGCGAGCGGGGTTGCCCACGTTGTTGGTTGCCGTGCAGTTGTAGAAACCTGCATCCGCTGGAGTGACTGCACGTAAGAACAAGGTCGGACCCCGAACCTGGGCACTGAGTGGGAGGGCTCCGGGATAGCGGGACCATGTCACCGTGGGGGAGGGTAAACCTGCAGTCACCTCACAGGTTATGACCACATCTTGCCCAGGATCTACCACCACCGTGTCGTCGACTGACAGCCGGATCATCGGGGGAGCTGCAAAGAAGAGAAACGGTGTTAAATGAGTAAAGATGGCATTGCATTCTATGTGGTTACAAAAACAAAATCTTGACTGTTTGTCTTCTGTCTTTCAATTTGAATTATTAATGGTTGAGCCTGTAAGTGCATGTGTATAATCCACTAATGTGCTTTAGAATGGACAGAGAGCACCAGTCATACTTAAAAACAAAGTATGACTAGGAATAGAACCTGTTATCTTCCATCTGAAATACATCTAAGTTCCCCTTGCTGCTATTTTAACTAAGTTTAATTTACCAAACATGAGTATTCTAATGTTATAAATAAAGCAAATACATTTCAGTACATGTGCTTTTAAAAGTCTGTTTATAATTTTTATTAATTGTGTAAAGATTTTATCTCCCTTTTAGTTGTTGCATCTAGGATGGGAAAAACCACCACAGGAGGCTGCTAGGATTTTTGCTATATCAAAAGTAGCTTCATAATTTTAAGTAAACATACATTTGAGAAATGTAAGTGGATTTAAAGGTCTATTCAACCTATATTGCACTCCTATGTACAACATTCTGTAATATGTCTTAGCATTTCACACCTCAGGACATAAATGGGATGACAGAAGCAGCACATTGAGAAAAATGAGCTTGCAATCAGTTTGTTGTCTAATGAAATCCTTTGTTGATATTTGGACACACACTGCTTGTTACATTATTTTCAGTTTTTTTTCCAAAAACTTTTTAGTATGTTCTTTGATATGTACATTTTCACTGTCACGATTCTGTCTCACATCTAACCGCAGTCGTCTCATGCAGCTCTGTGCTTGCTTAGTTTCCGTATGACTCGTTACGCGGTCAGACTTAGCAGCTTTGCTCTCAACGTTTCTTGTCACTCTGGAAAGCTCAGTTTTGCTTTTCTCAGAGAAAGCTCAAACCTTCCCTCAGCCCCTCCCTCCACCGACCAGCACCAGGATCATTCTCTCATTATGATCCAAACCCACCACCAGAATTTGCAAGAGCAAAAATGTCTCTCCTATTTTTTCCTTCCATCAAAATCTTCCTATGTTCTCCACAGATGCTGCTCCAGAATGGATTCTGACCTTCCTGCTGTAATTCAGTCACATATTTTCAATTGTAAATAAACAGCTTTCATTTATTGTGTGTCCCCGAGTAATTTACCGAAGAAATGAAATCAGTTTAAACTCAATAAAGTAAATTAGGATATCACATAACTATTTGTAAATTAACCTCATTAGAGATTCCAATCTAATATGTAACTTAACTATTGTTAAGACATTTAGATGTTTGATATCAAGTAATGTTGTCATTGGGTAACTGCTCTAACACTTGAGTAGCACTTGCACTGATTCTGTTGCAGTTGTGAATACACGTTTCGTATTTGTCAAGAGACTTTCTGATAGTCGGGACGGAGAAAAATAAAGGAGGTTTAAACCTTCAAACAGGCTTTAATGGTCAGCTTAACCACAAAGACAAAATATCTCAATTATATTCTTCTGCACAAGGTTTTACAACAATATTTCCTGAAAGCAGTCAAACTATTTCTAAAATATAGAACATGTCTGATACAAGTTTGGCTTAAGATAATCTCTACAAAGTCTTTTTGAGTATCTGAAAAAGGACTGGTGGGGTGAAAGGCTGGAGTCAGGTTTCTTCCTGACTTTGACCTCATCCTCTGTCTTACCGAGCCCAAGTATTTAGTCTCATAGAGCAAAAATATGTTTAATTATCTTTTGAAGTTTCATTTAGCATTCACATTAGTCACAATTCAGAACAACATCAATAACATAGTTTTATCCAGAATTTTTATTAGCAATTCAGAGGGTCGTCTATATTTATAAAACTGAGAAACATTTGACATTTAATTCAACTTGTACAAAATCAAATATATTTATAAAGTATTTTGCCTACTGTCTAAAATTAAATTAGACTTATTGTTTTAAGTTAGTTAGGATTAACAAAACTATTTCCATTTCCTGAATTCTAGAATAACTAGAGATGATTTCTTTCAACAAACGTTTTATTACATCCTTCACATTTAAAAATTTACATATTATGGTGTCTGGGACAGATGAAAAATTAAGCAACTTGTATAAAAATTAAGCAATTTTCTTGCTGGCAGAAAATTATCCACAGTCATTATCCACAGATCATGTACCAACATTGAAAGGTCATTCAAAGAAAAGAAGCCATTTCTCCAAAAAAACATAAAAAGAAAAATTACAGTAAAACCCTAATTTGATGAGGGATACTTTATGGTTTGATGAAACTAACATTTTAAGTGGTATTATGTTGTGTGGGTGTTATTTTTCTGCAACAAGGACCATTTAACAAAATAAATGGCATTATAATAAAAGAACATTGTGTGGGATAATTAAAGCAATATCTCAAAACCTAAGTTAAAGAAAGTGTAAGAAAGTTAAAGGTTAGTTGATAGAAGATCTTCCAGATGAACACTAGCTGTATATATACCTGCATAAAAACAGCAAAGTAAATAATTTAGAGTGGACACCTGCCAAAGTCCAAATCTCAATCTCATAGAGAAACATGATTCAATTATATTACTTCTGCAAAGAGGAATGGGCCAACAATGCTTAAAAAGTCAACTGTTTAAGAGAAGATTGTTTTAGGATACCTAAAATCTTTAATACCAAGCACAGAACAATTATAAGAAATGCTCAAGTGCATCATGGTGCATGAAAATACACATAACCCTCTGAATATAAAAGAAATAAATATACTACTCCTGAAACAAGAAAGCTTTAATCTGATTTAGTGTCTTCTAAAAACAGCGAAGGCAAATATATAATTTCAGCTATCTGTCTTTTAGGCATAAAAAGATAATGTTTGGTACAAGATGGTCAACCTCTGCTAATCTGGTAAAAAGTGTTCAGCTGGGAAACTTCTTTGGAGGATCAAAAAGTCAGAAAAAGATCATCAGCTGTACAAATCAGAACAACTTACACGGGCAAAACAACATTGATGCATGTCATCTTTAAACAGTATTTTTAACGTATATATTTCAGAGCCCACTGGACCTTGGAAGTGGAGTTTAGCTTGAGAAAATTAATCTGTCAGCGCACTGCTGTGCCGTTTCACTGGCTGAGCTCACTGCTGTGTGCTAACAAGAGCATATAACATACTGTGTGTTCTGACTTTGGATTATTTCCATATTTATGTATTGTTCTTGATTTCTCTGATAAGTGTCTTTCGACTAAGAAGAGTAGTGGGCAGATATAATATTTTGGGATTTTGTTTGTGTAGAAGAGCCATGAAAAAAGCTGCCGGAATTTAGCTGAAAAATTGATTTTGTAAAACCACTACATTTTAATCCATAAAACAGCACTGCAAACAAAAATAACATGCTTCCTTAAAAAAAAAGTACTTCAGTCTATTTTTTGTCTGCACTGCACAAGTAATAGATAAAATATTATGATCTTTTGCATGTAAAATAAAGAAAAGTTAATCTCCAATGAGATGCAAACCACCCGAACGCAGGAAACAATTCATTGCTCTAATAGATTTTGTACAGTACATCCTTTCATCTAATCTCCTTTTCAACAGCAATTATGAGAATGAATGGGGTGTGCAGATGCTCAACAAAGTACTTTACGTATTCATGTTTCAGCCAGTACAACAGTGTGCACAAATCTGTGCACTCACACAGACTTGCTGGCAGTGTCTGTAGGGACTGTGCAAAAACACAGACACACTAATCTGATCGCTTTAGCTAACTTCAGAAGTGATGGCTCTGAATCTGACAAGAAATTTCATTGGCATATCAGCTGCAATGAGAGAATAAATAGTTCTGTCTATTTCCATTGTATCAAAGCGCAATACTAGAGAGAGCAAACTCCTGCAGGGTCCAGAGCCGTCAAGAAAACTTTTTCTTGAGTATTATTGTACTTTAATGAACCATCAATAAATGAAATACTTCAAGTATCATTTCTGTAGTGATGCATGCTAAAGTTCATATAATAATGAACTTTAGCATGAAAGATTGGAAATCAACACGAGGTGACAGGTTGGCCATGAGTAAATATTCACTTTTTAATGTTCTAGTCTTATTTCTCTCTAGTCATTGCTATGATTATCACCTTATTCCACAATGTTCTTATAACTATGCTATGATTCATTCATTCTTTTATTTGTCAATTCAAATATTAATACAAACTGACAAACACAAATGTGTCAGTTTGTATTTGATTAATCCAAACAGAGTTTGAAATTGTAGAATTTAAGCAGCAAATTTTGATGAATCATAGTTTTAGAAAACTTCAAGGTTACAGAGCAGGAAGTTAATTAGTTCTGTCAAAAATACTGACATTTCTGAACATGTAAAGGTCTCCGTATCTCTAATCACCATGTTACACACAGAAATCTATGTATAAACATAGATGAGTTTGGAGGATGAACTGAAGTCTAACGTAGCTATTTTTTGGCTCCTAAAGCATTAAAACTTGGGTGTCTTAAGGGAATAACCGGTGCAGCAGCCTCACATATATGTGACATTGTTACCTTGGTATGCCAAGGTAACAATGTCACTGGTTTATTTGACTGCAAAAAATACTTCATTGCCAGCATCCTGGTTTACTTGACATAAATCTGATCATATTTTTTGCAGTCTGCCACCAGATTCAGTGAAAAAAAAAAAAAAAAAGAAAGAAATCTGTAAAAAAAAAAAAAATGAAGACGCATATAGTATAAAAAATGATGTGAAGAAAGAGGGAAGCATAGTGAAATGCAGAGGTGGAAGTGAAGATTTGAAAATTTTATTTTTCTTATAAAGGGCATGTGTGGGAGTTATCAAAGTGGGATCAAATACTCTTCCCACAGTAGTTTGCAAGAAAGTAAAAATGGCTTCCAACTCCTTGTGCCTGTTTTACTTACATTGTTAATGTTTTTATCTTTACCTTTTATCTATTTATTAAGTTATATCTAGAGGTTTGAGAATCCTTGTTAAACAGCGTTTTAGCTGAAACTGAGGTTTAAGGGGTGCGCGTTTTA